AAATAAAATTAAAGAACAACAACAACAGTAATGACATTCTGTAAGACGGCCTCCAGTCTATTACAGTCAATTTTCCCCTTGACAGTGGGTGGCCGTGTCTTAAGCAGTTTCGACTGTAGATTATATGGCAAAAGTAATTAAAACTATATCCTTCTTATAATGACCATTGTTGTGTCGATGTGCTTCTCTTTACTCAAACTCAAAACACAAATCCGGGGTCTCCATTCTTTGTAGGATACTATCTGGGTAGCTGGTACATGTGCGAACGATAATTTCTAACTTGTTGTAAGATTGGACGTTGAAACTTTCTGTTCCCCATATTTTGATATGTTGGCCTGTAATGCACGGAACCACGTCTACTTAGTAGACATTTGATAACCAAATATGCTGCAAGTATTGCCTCACACTCACACACGGGATTTATTTCTAACTAAAACGGAATTTGAACGTTTGGGTATCTGTTTGTAGGTGCGGAAAAAGAGGGAGCGGGATGTGGGAGGGGGAGAGAGAGAAAGAGGAAGGAGAGGTAATTGTCATCAAATAGATTTTATGACACTAATTTCACCACTGTAAGGACCACCGAATATAACGCTAATCTCTGACAGATCCGACAAAAATCGGCGGAGAACTGCGAAAATTCAAAGAAACCCAAGTTCAAGAAAGTACCATAATTTATTATTCAGAACAGGTCAATCGCACCAAAGCCCAGCATTGTATCAACTGTCATGGTGTGCGTGCCCTTGTGCATGCGTGCATCGTTGAAACAATAAATCTGTAAAGCAAGTGGGTCTGAGGATAATTCTCCCAGTAACACAATACATGTATATCCAGCATTTCAGATCCCTCCAAAGTTGGCAAATATATAAGAATTCGTTTGCCATGACACGACAGCTGGGATCTATATTAAAAATCTGGTTGCATGTCCATACCACAGGCACTGGAAGGGGGCGCTCATGGTCTAGAGGTACGGAGTTCGTCTCTCATTCAGTAGGTTCCGGGAAACCTGAAAGCGACGGAACATTTTCTTCTCTAAAATGTTCTCCTCTCACCTCGACCTTTCCTACTCTCTGATCATGTTCTAATATCATCTGCTTTCATTTCCGCTTTCTACCCCCCCCTCTTTTCCCCTACCCCGAGCTACTGGCTCTTTCTATTGCTGCTATTGGCTGATTCTTACAGCTGTTTTACAGCAACAGCCCTGATCTTAGGGTAGATAAAATCTAACTACCTAGCCTTCTCGGATAACGGCCAAAAAAAATCAAAAAATCTCACCGGAGCAAAATTTGAAATATTATGTTCCTACCAAACTGAAGTTGTCCCGCTCGCTCACATTATGACTTTATGCGGTTTCTAGCGCCGGAAAACACTTTCCACCTCCCCCCTCCCTAAAAAAAAAAGTCATTAGAAAAGCTTACACAGACTGTGCCATGGTTGCAGATGACTGAAAATGGTGTAGTGATTTGCTTTGCTTTTGTTTTCTTGTTTTCATCGGTTTTTGTTTTTTTATCAAGTTGGTTGCGTGAAGGAATGGTAATGGGCCCAGTCTTGTGGTAAAGTTGTCTCGTAATCGAAATATTGTGGGGTGTGTTTTCTGCTTGGCCGAGTAGGACATTATTGCCCAGTGAAATGTACTTCACTCAGGAACACGGATATTGTTTTGCCTTATTCCACAAGCTCACTCAGCTGAAGAAAATGGCTTTTGGTAATCAGCGGGAAAAGAAATGTTTGTAAATTTTAGTATTTGAACGCATAACATACTGTAGAAGTGCAGCGCCCCCCCCCCCAAATCTCCCCCTTCCTCAGAATTGAGGTAATATGATGTGAAATGATCTGGTGGTGGGCCAAGAAAGTTATAACAATGCCACAAGTAACTTAAAGCTCAACTCGCTGTTTTGTGGAAATTCTAGAATATCAAAACAACGAAAAAACAACATTCAGAAGAGCCTCCCCCCTTCCAACCCCCCACCCAGAAACAATGAAGTAATAACATGATCAGAAGACGTCCCTTCCTCCTCCCATCCCACCAGCACCACAACCCAATCAATAACGCCACCCTTCCCCCCAAAA